TCCTTGTGACTGGAAAGATTCGCCTACTCGTATAAAAAACATCATGAAACCTGTGTAATGGCTCTCCGTGTACATAAACAGCAGACCGATCATCAAAGTGTGATGATCTTCAAAGTATGAAGATATTTTGCCTTAAGATGTTCATGCATATTATGATGCCATTTTATTTAAATATACGTTACATTTTTAAATAAATATATTAGATACTAATAATACTATTAAAATTAAAGCTGTAAGGCTATTCGCATGTTATTTCTGTCTAGTATTACTTGTATTACCAAGAAATATTATTGCCTTAATCAAAACTTTAAAAATTTTTTACCACCCAAGTCGTTTGCCTAAGTCATTTATTTAGGACGAGCCGACCCGCAGCGTATCATACGCCGCTATTTAGTTGTTTTATTTTCTACTTTTCAGTAATTCATAATTTGTAAATTCGACAGTACCAATGCTGCCACTGAAAATATTTGCTTTAAAACACTAACCCCCCCCCCACTTTCCCCTAACCCCGACCCTACGTCCCCCCCCCCGTGAAAGCAGCCTCCTCTTAGTTAATAAGTTATTTCTTAGTTACCTCCTGTAAATTTAAAATCGAACTAAATTATCTGCCCCTAATAGAAACCCGGCTGTACGGCTCTTCGATTTGTAAACATTTAGCTTTGTAAAAATTTAGAGTGAACACCGCTCACCAGACAATGTTGGGGTGGGGTGGGGGTGGTAGTGATAGAGAGAAAGAGAGGGGACTGCAAGGAGGCGCTTGCAGCTTGTTTTCTAACTGATCCCAGAAGAGAATTATATATATAGATAGATATCTTTTGCCTATGTCCTACTAAGTATCTATATTAATTAAAAAAGTGTTTTTTCTTATTAGACATCTTCTAATATTACCAACATGTCACAAATTGTACCATAGTGACAAGTAGAAGTAATAATAAAGTGTTTTTTTTTCAGTTTTCTCAAAACATGAAAAAATGACTTGGGCGTTTGTGTCATGACCGTGACGATATTCTTCTAAAAAACTTCCCCAACAAACTTTTCAACAGCAGTTACCACAATCACGATCGAAAAAGAAACCCTAATGACTCGATTTTTAAACCCAAATACCCTTCTCCCTCCCCCCCCCCCCCCGTAATTCCATCATATTACTAACCTTCTTAATTAGCCGTCGATAGCCGGTCAAATAACGCAATAACCATATAACTAATCATATAGATAATATCATGAATAACCTCTTTAATAACACATTGATAATCCATTCAAAATCCAACTATATAACCATCACCAATGTTTCTATTCTGCTTGTTTTAGTTAGATTGTCTTCTTAAAACAAAGTGGTTAATTATGGGACATTATATTACGGCTTATTGTGAATTGGTAAATACACCAATACAATACAAAAAAAAAACCGGGAGTGATCTCCCCTAAACATTCTCAAATATTCTAATATAACACTACGTGGGATGGCAACTCGGAATATAGACATGATTTTTGTTTACTTAAACTTTTAAAAATAGAATAGAATCTAATAGAAAAAAAAAGAATTGCGCACCAAGCGAATGTCAAATAAAGATGTGCATAATAGTGCGCAATATTATTAGTCCTCTATTAATTTACATGCGTTTTTTTTTAATCGGAAATAGCGTAATTAGTATTTCCGGTGAACGGAAATTACTCGAAATTTGACAGAAGGTACAGAATTAGATTTTTTACTTACATTTGAAATTTCATATATCTATCTGAAATAGTACGCAAGTTATTGGCTTTTGAAAAATTCAAAGTAGAAAAAGTACCACTTCCGTTTATCGGAAATCGCTCAAAAGTGGATCAGGATCTACGATTTTGATAAAATACTTATTTATAAAATTTCATCAACCTAGCTGTAACGGTACTCAAGTTATCATGTTTACACACGGACGGACAGACACACACACACACACACACAGACACACAGACATACGAACAAGATTGCAAAATTATGTTTTTCCGTATCAGTAAGGTGTAAAACGTCGAGATTTGTAAAAATCTCTTTTTTTTTGCACGATTACAATACTTTCTCTATACTTCGTATATACGAGAAATTAAAAAAGATGTAGTCCAACCAGCTTAAAAGCCCAGCTCTGTAACGTAACAACTTACACCTACAAATATTGCGTTCAGCGTGAGAGATTCTGCTGTTTTAATTAAAATTACTAGTACGTAGAGGAATAGCTAGACATAGTGCTGACCACACCATCCTTTCATATGCCGAAGTCACAGAAACATTTAAACCACGTACGCACTTGACTCAAATAATTACATCCAACCGGTACAATGGCCAGAAATTACTTTCCCATTTTTTTTAACTTGAGTATCCTAATGTAGCTGTATAGTTAACACATACTTTCTTAAATTACTAGGCATACTGCCCAGCTTCGCTTTGGCTTTCGTAAACATTGAGAATTTGAATGCTTAATAAATTCACCCATATTAGGCGCCGGTCAGTCGAGGTCAGTTTTGAACCCCTCATCGTAGACTTTTCGGCCAACCGGTCCCCGTGTTCTATCGCCCCAAGGCAAGATCCTGCCAAATTTGAAGCGCCCTCGGCGCCGGGAAGTGCCCTATTGGGCACCCGACAACTTAGCTTTATAGATCATCTAGATCTAGATCTAGAATCTCTAGATCTATATGATCTAGAATCTCTAGATCTAGATGATCTAGAATATCTAGATATAGATCAATATCTAGATCTAGAATCTCTAGCTCTAGAATCCAAATAGATAAAATAATTTTTTTCAGTTTAGGCCGAGAAAATCGTATTGTATACATTTCATAGCGTATATTGCTCTAAATCACATTTGAATAAAATAGTTCATTGAAATAGTTCATTTTTTTAAATTCTAAATTCAGAAGATGACGACATCAGTTTTGTGCTCTTTTTTATTTAGTGTAAACAATAAGCGACGTCATTGTTAAATGCGTTCTTGTACTAAGTTTATACACTTTTCCGGTTGCATAAACAATACTGTTTCACTACATTCAAATACGTCTTTATTTTTTATTTTTCTTCTTTAAATAAAATTGTGGTTATACATTTCAAACATCTAACATATTATTTTCAACAAAAGTCGATTAATAAATATAGAAACAATTTAAATTACTAAAATAATAAAGATTTTATATATTCAGTCAGGTTTTATTTCAAACTAGCCGGTATCGGCTAGGCGTTGCTCCAGCCATTTATAACCCTGTCCAAATGTAAATGTTAACGTTCACATGTTTATTTACATAATGTTTTAAGAAAAATATAATTAAAAAGCATTGCATAATGCTACGCTTATGACAGCAACATCACGTGATTCTAAAAATAAACTTTCACAACACCTGCCATTCCTCAATATCACTTTTTGTTAAACAAATATAGGCCTACTAACCATCCGAGAGTAAACCTTTAAACAGAAAACCGCTTATTACATACAATATCTCTCCTAGTGAGCAACAGTCCCATACATTACAATTAAAATATAAAAAAAATATATCAGAATAGTAACATGTAAGAATATACACCTATTTACATACATCGTGTAAGCATACGGGTAACATTAAAGTAATAATTAAAAAAAACAACGAAAAAATAAAAGAAAGTATATAGAACATTGCTTACACACATCATAATCTGTATCTACTAGAAAAATAAGGTCTCTTTCTCTGACGTAGATCGAGTACAATTTAGTCTCGATCTGGGACATCATCGGTCACATCGGAAACACCCGCAGTGACGCATTTTGTTGTTTTTTTTTTAAATATTTTTTAATGTTGTTTTATTTTTTTTTTACTTCGTACACATTTGACATAAAAATGTTTCACTGCTAGAAATTGTTTAAAATATACATTTTCAAGAGACCTTTATATTGACATTTTTATGATTTATTTAAAAACAGTAAAAAGATTACAGTTATTTGTGTATGTAGATAGTATGTACAATTTTACTGGCTGGTAGGCTTACTGTAAAAACTATTTCATTAGAGTTATATCATATGTGCTTCAACTTTCCATTATGACTCAAATATCACATAAAGATCAACTGTATCAATTTGTTCTCCTTTATTTTTTCTTACCATCTTTAGTGATCTACCTTAAGGGAATGATTAGACCCATACATTAAACTTTTGATTTCCGTAATGTAATTAAAAAAAGCATTTACATAAACAAATTTTTAAAAAAAACGTACAAGAATATTAAACGGCCGTTTAAAACGCTTTAATTTTTGTGTAGATATTTGAGCCAGGGGAGGTAAGGAAACTGAACATGAATGTGCCGTGTTATAGTTGCATTTTGTTAAAAAAATTATTTCAAAATAAAATATCCCGGTCTTAAATAGTGCCAATAATGTTCATATGAATGGCACTATTTCAATTTTGTTTATGGGGAAGAGGTGGGGTCGGTTGTTTGAAATCATAAAGTTTTTTTGTTGTTTTTTTTTCCGATATTTGACTTAAAACTAACTCCAAATCTGAAAGTAATTTTAAAGCTTCGAAGGATAGTCAACAAAAATAAAAGACACAACTGACCCGCAACCTATATCAAATAGGAAGTAGAACATTACCCCCCCCCCCCCTCCTACAATTAACCTCCGATATTTCCTCCGACATTATCTTACCCCGGCAGCTGCTGTCTTATAAAAACGCGATGTCCGAATATTGGAGTAAGTCATTCCCTCATTTCGATTACAAAATGACAACGAACTTAATAGCCTACTAATATTAGACATAATCCTAAATGTCAAGTGATATTAGGATTATGGCAAATGCTAGTGGCAGTGGTAGGAAGAAAACTGTGCACAAATGTAGCAGGAATTGCGTCGTTTTAAAGACAGATGTTACACTTTTGTAGCAGGATGGCACAACTTTCGCCTTAAAGTATATTTATCTTTGCTAAGATAAAGATCGAATTATGTTATTTGCGAAGCTGTGTTAATCTTAGAGCTATTTTTTTTAGAAATTACAGAAAAATATGTGGGAAATTTATAAGATGGCACATCTCTGCGAAAATGAACTATACATCGACTTTCTAAATCGATTTTGCATGTCTTGATAGCGCTTTGAGTTTTCTTTGACTGCTTCTATTAATTTTTCAACACTTTTAGCATGGGGAATTTGTTTTAGATCTAGTTGGTTATTAATAATTTTTAAAATATCGCAGAGTCGCTGCAATTTAGCATCTTGTGATTTCTGGCTCAGCAATACGAGCAAGTTTTTAATTTTTTTCTTCATGTTTTCATCGACTTGTGAGCCCGAAACAAATTGGTTTTCAAAGTAATTCATTATATCATCGGCGCAATCCAGAAATACGGGTTTTTGTTTAATTAACTCAGCTCTTTGAGCTAATGCATTTTGAAATGCGGCTCCACTGTATGGCTGTCTGGATAACTGTTCTAATTGTTTTACCAAAGATATGCATTGTGCTTTCAGTATATCTCCGTTACTTGTTTTGTTATCAAATAAGACATATCTGTTCCCGCATTCATTCAACAAATATTTAAACCCAGCCTTTTCAGCAGCTTCTGTTCTTAACCATTCATCAAATGTGCCTAGACGGTCTGCTTTAAAACCATCACCGTTAGTAACGAGTAAAACAGCATGGTTAGCTAAAGCATCTTTTCCCAGAATGGTTTTCAGCAAAGAAATAGCCTCTTTCTCTTCATTGGTTAATTTAGAGCCGTATTTGTACACCAGCACCAGAGAAAAACTTGAGCCGCATAAAAGCACACCTTCAGTTATCTTCCTACACGCATCAGCGTAAATACCCAACTCATCAAGCTCTGTGTTGAATACTCCAACGGTATCAATAACTGTGATCACACGTGTATCGATAGACACGCTTTGTTTGGAGGCTTCTGTAGTGCTAGACACTGTAGTAAACGTAGCTGCTGTTGCGTTTGATTGATTTATGTTCTTAATTGAATTCAGCGTCCAGCTTTTCCCATGCCCAGTCTTGCCGATCAAAATCAAATTCAGATCCTCTCCAGGTGGCACAAACATTTTGCTCTAAAATATTAAATGTATATATATATATATATATATATATATATATATATATATATATATATATATATGTGTGTGTGTGTGTGTGTGTGTGTGTGTGTGTGTGTGTGTGTGTGTGTGTGTGTGTGTGTGTGTGTGTGTGTGTGTGTGTGTGTGTGTGTGTGTGTGTGTGTGTGTGTGAGAAAGAGAGAGAGTGAGAGAGAGAGAGAGAGTCTAGGTTATTACTCATGTATACGGAACAGGAAAGTAGAGAGAGCTATAGAGAAATACAGGAAGAGAGAGAACTATCTACTTAAAATTGCTACCTTGATATACGCTTGCGTCAAGCCTTTTTCTTTTGCGTTAATCACGCCTATTTTTTGTTCCGTGTCTTCTGTAGTATATGTCAGAATACTTTGTCGGATAACGTTCAGCGCTTCCTCTTTCTGCTTGGAAATTGTAGCCTTTTTTGTATCTTTTTCTGCTTGGTTGACGAGATCTTTGAATTCTTCTTTAGCAAAGAAATCCTGCGAGGAAAGAAGAACGCGCTGAATAAACGCTTTTAAACTCTACACCAAGAGGTTTACAAGTTGATATTAGGCGCTATAATAATTACAATACATAATAGTGTTCTGCTCTACAGGGGCATATTATGTGAACTGAGCTATACTCAACTATCTTCTGATAATTTTAGACATACATAATTTTTATGATGTCTATGTATTTGGGTAATCTTTATTTTCGATATTTTGATTTCTCTATGGGAGACTCCCAATTAAGTTCCATCTTGCGGAATCTATATATATAAAGCAAAGTAGTCGGGTGCCCGATATGGCATTTCCCGGCGCAGCAGTCGCTTCAAATTTGGAATGATCGTGCGTTGGGGTTATAGAACACGAGGGCCGGTGCCGGTTGGCCGAGAATTTCAGGAAGAAGGGGTCAAAACTGACCTCAACTGACCGGTGTCTTATATGAGCTATATCACGAAAAAAACTTTTGCCGAACGACCCTCCTTAATATTTTGTTAAGTGGTAGAGGAACGACTAGGGTTGTTATAAAAAACTCGGCATATCTGGGAAAACTTCGCAAAGTGGTCAAAACTGACCAGTCGTATTTCCCTATAAAATTTATGTATTTTATGTGAAAAACAGGATAATTTCAACACAAATTTTAGGGTATTTAACCTATGTATATCTGGCTAATGTTTTGCTTGCACATCTAAAGATGACTAGGCCTTATGGAAAAACTGTTGGTCAGACTCAAAGCCCTCGACTAGGGTTAAAAAATGACCGCAAGTGAAATTCTCCTGATATTGAAGAACGACCTCACTAATATTTTGTGAGGTCGTAGACCAACCCTGGAGGGTAACAAAAAAACTTTTTTCCCGTCGGAAAAAAACCATTTACGGTCGTTAGATTTGTCTATATGTGGTATTTTCTTATATAAACAATTGTTTGTGAAAACGTAAACAAAAACTACGTCATTTGGTCTTTGTACAGGGGAGGTAACTTCATAAAGTAGTATTTTAAAAATTATTTTCATAATATTTTTAAGGAAAACAAATATTAAAAAGTAGGCTACTGCATTCGTTTATGTAAATATTTCGTAATCAATTAAGTTATTAACTGTAGTGAAATTGTGAAAATTAATCGCGAAACTAAATTTATTATAATTTTTGTTTTATACTATTAAGGAAGCCTTTACAGTTCTATAACCTACTGGGTAATAAGTTTGCGAATACTGTACTTCACTCATTGTTGTATGGTTTAAAATTACTCAAAACTCTTTAAACTTAGGCCCTAAGAACTACACATAACAGCCAATCACCAATTAATTAATTAATGGAATTCTCAATTTCTTTATTTTAAAACCTAAGCGACTGTCCCACTTCAACTTTTGCCTAAATTTTAAATTTCGTGCGATACAAGTCTACATTTTGGTCAAATTTTAAACAATAGCAATATTAAGAGATTGGAAAAATTTAAGAGGATTATAGACAGAAAAATTAGGAAACGTTTTTTAATGGGTAAAATCGTTAACCACTACTCTCCCACACACACACACACACACATATATATATATATATATATATATATATATATATATATATATATATATATATATGTACAACTTACAGTAAGCTCTTTATATTCCTCATCGATAGCGAGCAGCGTCTTGTAGAGCTCGTAGTTTTGTTTTTCCACAGATTGTTCTTTTACTGATTTGACAGGTCTTCTTTCTGAAAAAAAAGTTCAACTCACAAAACGTTCCATATGTAAACAATCTATTATTAAGTCTACGGTCTATTCTTTAAATGTAGTTAATATACATCATGTAAATAAAAAAATAATTCTTTTTAATAAGATATTCATAATTTTTTTAAATATTAATCATCGTTGTAGTAACTTTCCTAGTTCATATTTCATAATACATGCAATGTTAATAATGTTGGGTTAAGTAATTAGACGACGAAACTAAATTCACCTTTAACAACACTTTGAAGCGTTATTCGCAAGGGGAATAGCTTTGACCTTCTGTCTGTTTCTTGGCTCGGGTTGATGTGCGGTTTTGTTGTATCTGTATGTATACACACACTCATATATATATATATATATATATATATATATATATATATATATATATATATATATATATATATATATATATAATATAAATATATATATATATATATATATATATATATATATATATATATATATATATATATATATATATATATATATATATATATATTGTTACGATCCCAGTGTATCTCTACCTGAGTTAACCCTATTAAAGGGGTAGGGGTGATGATAATTATGTTAGATTCTAATTACTGGTGACAGCCTTATTGACCTATGTGACCTTAGGGGAGACAGTATGGCGGGCGGATTGGAGGAAAATCTAGAAAGTTATCAGTAGGGTCTGACCTTTTAATTAGGTACCACAGAACTGTGGCGACGTACGAATTAGGTTAGGCTGGATGAAGACAAAGAAAGGAGACCGTTATTTAAGGAGGGGTAGACTGGGGTGAGAGTCAGAGCACGGACACTCACGGGGACACTCACGAGTTAGACACTCGGAGACGGACGTACTCGTCTCGGATAGCTAGGTCTAGAGGAGACAGACATGGGGCGTCTCTGTGAGCTAGTGGACAGCCAAGAGATGCCTGTACTGTAGTAGACCTAGGCTAGTTAGACAGTTAGGGATAAGTAGGGTAGTCGTGCTAAGAACTTTAGTTGTTTGTAGCTATTTGTGTGTATTTCTGATTGTTGTACTTTGGTGGCGGGTTAACTTTAATTGTTGTAATTTGTGGAAATAAATATAGATTACTGAAGTTGGCTTTTATTTATTTTTATTTTTCTTCTTGTTTACGATTCCCTGACTAGTTCGAAAGGATTAGAGAAGGGAGTCGTAACAATATATATAACTATTAGCAATGAATAAATATGACTGTTTGCTTGTGTGTGTGTGTGTGTGTGCTAGTCTGTATTGTTTGTTTACCACTGTATTAAGTGTATGTGAATGCTTGTTTATGTAGACGATTTACATAGTTTTTATACTGCTATTACGTAATCTATTACGTGTATGTTTGTATACAGAAAGATTAACTGGAAACTTTCATATGTTAAATAAATAAAACAACAAACAAAAGAAAATTAAAACCGTGCCTGCTGTTATCGTTGTGACGTCACAACCAAGCGGCGTATTCTCCTCGTTATTCATCCAAGTCTGCTGGAAGAAATCCCTGACAGCTACTGCTACATCCTCGAGGCTAGCCGGCTTAATCGACGTGAACGACATGCTTGTGATCCGGGAATGGAAATCTGTGTATAACCCACCACTATAAGACTGATCCAATCTCTTCATTGTGTTTAATATATCTTGACACTTGCTCTCATCAAACGAACCTTTTTCCAATCTAAAACACGATACAAGTTCGCGATGGATATATTTCCGTGTATTTTCACCTGCAAAAAAAAATGAAATAATGTGTGAATTATTCAATAACAAAGCAAAAAATATAATTTCTTTCTCAGGCGTATTAAAACTAAGAAACTTTCGTGACTTTCGTGACGCGGATATAGGGCTGGTAAGTAGGTCACCAACCAGTTATATTGCTCATGCAGGTTTTATTGAGCCGTAGAACTGGTTGGTGACCTACTTACCAGCCCTATACCGACTCAAGAGTTAATCTTCGATAAGCCTGGGAAACGAAAGTGACGTTATTCGATTTAGAAAAATTATCTTTGCCTTATGTGTTAAAGATATAGTCCAACATGTTTTAATGACGTGATACTATATAAAGTTTTAAAAAAAAACAACGTTTTAAGCCATCTAATAATTAAAATGCTTATTAAAGTTGTATTGGCTCCATCGTAAACTGAGATTTCGTTATAATTTATTTTAAATTCAAACAAACAATGTATATTTCAGAAACATTGGTAGTTTTGCCAAGATTGTTAACACCATATGTATAAGAATACTTAACTAATTAGAAACTCATTTAAAATGTTTCGCGTCAAAATCGACAAATTATAAAATTCTCGACAGGCGTTAAAAAAAAAATCTCGACGACACCCTGCACTGACTCACGCTATGTAAAGTAAAGACTGAAGATCGAAGTGTTGACCACACTATCCCGTCGTCTGCCAAGGTCACAGAATCAGATGAACTCTATTTCACCTGTTTCGGGGACCGGAAGGCTGGACAGAGCACTTTATTTATTACAGTAGAATTTAAAGTAAAAAACAGCAAATACGAGTTATATCACTCTCAAAATATGTCTTAGAGAATTGAGACAGTATATTCCTTGATCGACTCTCCACATACAGACAGAACAGTGGCGTCACTAGGTCGGGTGTCACCCGGTGCGGCACTTCATGGTGTCACCCCCCCCCCCCCCAAGACACTAAATATATATGTATATATATATATATATATATATATATATATATATATATATATATATATATATATATATACATATTTGTGTGTGTCGGCCTAAATGGGCTTATAATTTAAATACATGCCACTTACGCATGCAAGTATTTGTATAAGCTTTAACCACTGCAGACTTCCGATGTTTATAAGTTTGATAATAATATAATTAGATGTAGGGTTATTTCCTGTATAGTTATCACGTTTACGTCATGGTGTCACCCCCACCCTCGTCGATTTGTACTTAAAAGACTATTTAGCTTTAATTAATAAATAATGGAACTGAAAAAAACATTTTTCTTCCTTCCATTTTGCAATTTTTTTTGCCATGATGTCACCCCCTAAATGGTGTCACCCGGTGCGGTCCGCACCCCCGCCTGCGCTACGCCTCACACAGGACTTGATTTATCCCAACGTAAATCTCAATACAAAATACTTTAAAGATCAATTCTAGATATGGTTACTCCCCACTACCGTATATCCATTTTTGTTTATAAAAAATACAATCTGACTAGTACATTAACAATATGTGACAAAACTTCTTTAAATTCGTCTTCTTTTTCTAGATCACGGGTTCCCAACCTGGGGGTCGCGACCCCCCTGGGGGTCGCGAAGGTCTTTCTGGGGGGTCGCCAACTGGTATACTAAACCTTAGTAATTTGAAACAAAACATAACTATTAAAAGAATGTTTGAAATTCGGCTTCATTAACATCACTGGAAATGTAATAGAGAAGAAACAAAGCGCACTGTACAAAGTTGTGCTCAGTCACGAATCTACGAAATCTTCAAAACTAAAACGCCGTTTGAGACGAGTCGTTCGGAACACACCAAAAAATATATGGAGTTCTTTCGTCGGTAAGAAGCTAGTTGCAAACGCCAGAGACTTGATCGAACAGGAAGTTTTCACCAGCATTAGTGCAACCATCAAATGAAGTCGCGATAGAAAATGCCAAGAAAAAAAAAACAATAGGAGAAAATCTCATCAAACGCTGCATGTACGTAAATGTTAAATAACACATTGTTATCGAAATTAAGCTTTCACGTGAGTTCGTGTTCGCAGTTGCTGGTCTGTGTCTATATTCATGCGGATGATAGCAAAGAAGAGTTGCTCTTTTGTGAAGATAGCATGGAGAAAATAAATACCTTTTTTGAAACTGGATGATTAAAATGGGTTAGAACAGGGGTCGGCAACCCTTTGAAGCGGAAGAGCCAAAAGTTACAATTTTCAAAATTTGCCTGGTTTTAAAGAGCCACTAACAAATTTTTTATTTCAAATATTTTATTTTTTGATTAAGATTATTAGTATTTGTGCAAGGAGCTGGAGAGCCGCATCTTGATATCAAGAGAGCCGCATGCGGCTCGCGAGCCGCAGGTTGCCGACACCTGGGTTAGAACGGCTGTGGGGGTTTGTACGGATAGTGTGCCATCTATGTTTAGCTCAAAATCGGGCTTTCAGAAAACAGAAAAAATTTAGCTTTCTAACCACTGCCCTAACCAATCGACATCAAGAGTCCATTGCTAGTATAAGTCGTAAATTATATAAAATCTGGAGTCTTCAAAGAACTGAGCAAAAACATTTATATAGATCACGAGGTTCTGCTCTTCTACAATATAGTACGCTGGCTGTAAAACGAAATGTTGTAAATTGTGTTTTTTAATTGAAATCTGAAATCAAATTGTTCTTGGAAGTGCAAAGGAAACAAGACTTTTTGGTACACTTAAAACGACATAGAGTGGTTGGAGAGAGTATCAAACCTAGCAGATGTGTTCGAACATCAAGATAAGCCTAACCTGAAGCTTCAGGGAAAATGAACGAATATTATAACTTTCATGATAATCTCGGGGCATTTTTATCAAAGCTGCAAAATCGGTAAAGAAAATAAATCTTCGAAATATTGTAAATTTGAGAAACTCTGCGGTGTGGTAGATGAATCTGTGAGATAATTAGAATTTTGAAAGAAGCAATTTCTGGGCATCTTGAATCTCTTGAAAACGAACTGCATCGCTATTTCTCTGAGCTGAAAAAATAAGTATCTGCATTTACGCATTACCCATTCTCTTCTTCCCTTGATGTTGCCAGCATTCCCGATGAATTACAAGATGAATTCTTTGATTTGCAGAATGATTCCGAGTAAGATGAAAAACTGCAGACACAACTTTGGTGTAGTATTCAACATTCATACCCAAACGTAAAATTGATTGACTATTCGAGAATATATTTTCAACACTATTCTTCGATTAAAAATAAAATTAAGATAATTATAATGACATAGGTTGGCGTTAACAAACATTTTTTAAAATTAAAAACTTAACCACAAAGGCTTAGTGAATAGTATGCAATTTTACTCATGCTATTCAAATAGTTATCAAGAGTAGTTCATATTGAAAGTCTTGTAGACAATCTTATTTTAGTGCTTATTAATTTCCATACTAATTTCGGCTTTTTAATTCTATGGGGGTCGCGGGTCACTTACTTTTTATAAAAGGGGGTCGCCACTCGAAAAAGGTTGGGAACCACTGTTCTAGATCAATATGTAACTTTATAACCTTCCTCACGTAAAATATTGTATTCTTCATCATGATAATAAATAATGTAAGAGTGCATAACAGCGATTGCTTTCGATAATTTTGGAAGAGCTTAACAGGGATATCGAAAAGCTGAATAAATGTTTTACTCTAATGTTTCATATTCTCGTCAACTACTTAAATATATTGGTAAAGAGGGCACAATGTTGCTTAAAAAAATATCACTTCGCTTTCATAACTATCTCAGAGCTCAAGATTACATTTTAAAATCAACATCTGTTTAATAGGATTAAAAAGTCTATGTAATCATACCATTTTTGTAATTAAAAAATGTTTTTTTTTTTTAAAACATGGCACGAGATAAAATTATAGTTACATTTTAAAATAATGAAAGCCGTTTGAGAACCACCGCTTACGCTCCTTTTCATAGTTTTTGTATTGAGGATAAGTCGTTGCAACGCCGTTTAGAATTATTTTATCAATTCAAATATTTAAAAAAAAACAACGCCCTCAACACCTTATTAAAGGTCAATCGGAATTGCCCGAAAGAGTAAAACAATGAAAATCAAAACATTTGTTTTCCTTGATAAAATACACAATTGCGGTCATCGGAGTATAGCCTACTACTTTATTTATATTAAAATAATATAACATCCCCTATCACCACAATACACTGACTCTACTAATCCAAATTAAAAATAAAAGTGTTAGCTAAATTACTTGTATATTTATAATAATTGTTTATTTAAATATTTCTAACTTTAGTAAAACCGGAAGTCGTTTTTTTTATTTCTCAAATGTTATAAAATATTCAATTATGTTTGAAAAATATGCGTTCTCTCAACAACCATTTGGAACCAGGCTTTTCAAGCCTATTATCGTGTTATATTTCGGTTTAAGTCTGTGTGAACGTTTGTACTCGTATAAATTGTTTGCTTGACTGTTACTTACCAGTGTTTCTTCCAGACTTTTTCCTCCGGTGGTGCATTTGATATTTTCGGGGGGGGGGGGGGGGGGGGGGAAACAACATTTCCCAGGGGGGAGGGGCGGACATTGGTAAAAGTATATGTTTTCTATACAAATTCCATTTTTTCGGAGTGGGGGCAGTAGACCTTCTTCGAAGGTAGACTCCCAGAAGAGATGCCTGGAATAGAGGGGTAGAGTCGGTAAAGCTCATGGCTGCTAAACCGAAAAGTTGGAACCCCCGGGCAGACGAGGCTCGTTAGCTGGGGACAGCCACTCTTCTAGGAGAGACAACTCTAAAATCAAACAACTGCTGCCTTGCAGTTTGGTCTTGTTTGGACAAAGGCTATGGAAGTAAATCCAATAAGAAAAGCAGGCTGAAAACGGAGTCAATGACCTCAATTGCGCAAAACCAGTTGACACGTATCCTTAATTGTGATGGAAGCATGGCCGAGTCGGCAAAGCTCATGGTTGATAAATTCGAAAAAAAATGTCTCCAGTTCAAACCCTCTGGCAGATAAAGCTCGATCCCTTTCAACACTAAAAATTAAGAACGAAGAAGAAGAAGAAGCCTGGAAAAAACTATGTTACTTACTCTCGCTGGTGAATGAAAGCAGAAAAATCATTTCATTTCCGTACTCCACCGCTGAGATGAAGTGCAATGGATCCGATTTTGTCCACGTCGTAGGACTGATACTGTTGTAGGCTTCAAAATGTTTTTCTTCATCAACTTCTGGATTAATATTTTTGTTTTCTTCACGCAAAAAATAGAGAAAACAAAAATCACATCAGAAATGTATTGAAATAGTAAAGGACAGGTTCGGGTAAAATTTATAAATATGTGAACAAAACTATGTTAAAAATTTTTTTGACTATTTAAAGATCTAATAAATATAAAAGTTCCAATTTCTAATTGATAGTAGAAATTTATAAACAATGATATTAATTTCACAGCTTAAAGTGTGTAAACGGGTTGAATGGCACAACTCAGCTAAGATACTAGGCCTCTAAAAGTTAAACTTTGTTTCCAGTTTGAGGAGTTTAAAATGGAGTGTTGAGCTTAGAGGACTGGCTAAATTTACAAAATATAGACAGTGGCGGAACTAGAAAGATTTACGACTTTAGTAAATTTCACCTATTTAATTGCAAAATGTATACATCGTAAGACATCAAATCACACATAATATGCTCTAACTCATTTAGGACCTGATATGAACGTGGTTAAAAAAGTCTTCATTTCAATTATACCCGCCGAAAATTGTGAAAAGAATAAATTCGTATCTGGTCAAAAGCATTTAAACAGAGAGGTTTGATAAGAGGTATGGTTTACCTTTTTTGTTTAATTTTTAATGTTTTTTTTTTGCATTTATATTTATAGTTTAAAATACATTCCTTTTTGTAGCTGTGTCATTCTTTAGTATGCCTCATTTTAATAATAAAGAGAAAAAAATATTTTTTAATGTGCTTATTACAAATATATTAAAATGAGCTTAATGAGTACCCTATTTTAGAATATTTAAAGAAGAGCGGTAAGTCATGGAAGTGGTTTGAAGGTTTGGCTATCTTTCACACTTCAGCTCATCTCTGTGCAACAGTGTGTGCTATTAAATATAGAACAATCACTGCTGTAGTAGATCTGTTTATTTTTACAAAACCACTGGTCTATTAAAGTGCAAAAAAAATATTTTGTTGTTTTTAGTAGGATCCTGAGCCCCCTAAACAACCCCCCCCCCCCCCCCCGCACGGGATTGCGGCTTCTGGTGTAATTTTAGTTACGCCCCTGATCACATAACCAACGTTTGTGAACATACACACACACAAGAGCTAAAGAGCTAAATGGGCTACTTTTCATCAACTTACTATGTGGGGGAAAAATAACTCAGCTGCAGGTTTTTTAAAGACTAATGAATATAGAGTTCCCCACAGTAATTATATATAACGAGCTGACCGCCGCTGTTTAGTTTAATTCCTATTTTCCAGTAATTCTTAATTTGTGAATTTGACACTACCAATGCTGTGACTGAAAAAATTTGCTTTAAAACACCATCACGGTAGCTAGTGAAGGACGATTACCCTCACCCTCACTTTCCACTCCACTCCCCTCCCCCCCACCCGCCTCCGTGAAATCAGCCGTCTGTGACGACAGTTTACAGACGACAATAAAAAGAGCAAGCAGAACATGTTATTACTTCCCCTTAATTTCAAATCGTTTAAAAACTCAATTATCTGCCCCTAATAGCCGTCACTACGATTGTAAACAGCTCACCAGACTGGTGGGGGTGGGGGTAGTAGCGATATGGTCTGTTGAGCTTATGTCTTTTTGGTGTCTCGCATGGTCCCCACGTAGAGAATCTATCTATATATATAATTCTCTTCTGGGAGACGCTAGAAAACAAGATGTAAACGCGCTCCCTACCACCCCCACCCCTACATGGTCTGATGAGCTGTGGTTCACTCTAAATGTTTACAAACAGAGCCGGGTTTAGTGACGACTATTAGGGACAGATAATTTAGTTTGAAACGATTTTAAACGTGGGGGGGGGGGGGTTAACTAAGTGGAGTTTACTTTAACGGAGGGAGGGGGGGGGTTATCGTCCTTAACGAGCTATTTATAGTGTTTTAAAGAAATATTTTCAGTGGCAGCGTTGGTAGTGTCGAATTCACAAATTATGAATAACTGAAAAGTAGAAAAAACAACAACTAAATAGCGGCGTATGATATGCCGCGGGTCGGCTCGTATATATATAATTCTCTTCTGGGAGACGCCAGAAAACAAGCTGTAAGCGCGCTCCCTACCACCCCAACCCCTACATGGTCTGGTGAGCTGTGGTTCATGCTGTTTACAAGCAGAGCCGGGTTTAGCGACGACTATTAGGGGCAGATAATTTAGTTTGAAACGGTTTTAAACGTAGGGGGGGGGAGGGTAACTAAGTGGAGTTTACTTTAACGGAGGGGGGGGGGAGGGTATCGTCCTTAGCGAGCTACTTATAGTGTTTTAAAGAAATATTTTCATTGGCAGCGTTGGTAGTGTTGAATTCACAAATTACGAATTACTGAAAAGTAGAAAAACAACTAAATAGCGGCGTATGATATGCCGCGGGTCGGCTCGTTATATATACGAGCAGACCCGCGGCGTAAAGCCGCTATTTAGTTGTTTTATTTTCTACTTTTCAGTATTTCATAATTTGTGAATTCTACAGTAGTAACAATGCTGCCACTGAAAATATTAGCTTTAAAACACTAAAACCCTCCTTTTTCCAACCCCTAACCCCAAACCCACGTGAAAGCAGCCTCCACTTAGTTACCTCCCCTAAATATAAAATAGTTTTAATAGCCGTCACTAAACCCAGCTCTACGATATAAACATTTAGCGTGAACTACAGCTCACCAGACCATGTGGGGGTGGGGGGGGGGTGGTTGCGATATGCCTAGAGAGGAAAAGAGGGGACTGCTCGGCGCGCTTACAGCTTGTTTTCTAACGTCTCCCAGAAGAGAATTATATATATATATATATATATATAGATGCATACTCACCATTATACATACACAAAATCTTAAAAATCCAAAATATATAACTCAAGGAATAAGTGCAAACATAATTTAAGTCTCAATTTTTACGAAAATCAAGCAGTTGGAAATTACATCGTGTGCAACTATAAATGCTGAAAAATGAAGTTCTTATTTCAAATAACCTTATGAAACATAACCTTACACTTTGCATCTAATTTGAATGTAATGTGTTTGTATGTCTAAAGTATATTATTTGCACGACGAACCAGAATAGCTATTTCCAGTGGCGGAACTAGAAAAAAGGACCACCCCGCAAAAAAAATTTTTGGGCCCCCCTACCATATATATATATATATATATATATATATATATATATATATATATATATATATATATATATATATATATATATATATATATATATATAAATATATAAACCAAAAAATATGAACATAGGATACTCATTTCTGGCCTGATAGGGTTTTGAAAAAAAATTTCTTTTTTTTCACTTAATATAAATTACAACGTCTCATGGGTGTGAGTGTATATAAGTGTGTTTTGAAAATCTGTTTTTTTTTAGTTGGACATAATATTATTTAACAATAAGTAGGTCAAAAGTATATGAAATATCAAAGCTTTTATAATGTAATAATGTAATGGTTTCTCGTGTTATGTTTATTTTTATGTATTTTTGTACTTATATTATTCATTTAAAAAAAAAAATCCTTTTTTTTGCTGTGTCATTCTTTAGTATGTATATTTTTCAAAATATTTAAGAGAAGTAATTGCTCTTTTTAATCGTTTAGTACAAATCTAGGAAAAGGTGCTTATGAGCACCCCTATTTGACTATTTAATAAAGGGAAATAAGTCATGAAGGCGTTTTAAACGTTTTCCTATCTTTCCCAATGGTTTAAAAACAAATGGAAAAAAATATATTAGAGCGTGGGATGGTGTCTATAGAATAAAGATAATCCAACCGCAGCTACAGTTTTCTTTTAACAAAACAACCATCAAGTCAAAAATGAAAGAAAATTAAGTTTTTTAAGTAAAATAAAATAGATTATGGTCGGCCTAGGGCCCCTAAACGGCGTGGGCCCCCGCATTGCGGGGTCTGGCGGCACTGTAGTTCCGCCCCTGGCTATTTCCCATTATTGAAAAGTAAAAACTTGCTAACAGTGTGTTTGTATTAGTAAGCTTTTACCTGATGAACTGTCAGTCGGAGAATGAGATTTATTGCCTGTGGGTTTTCAATACACTGTAGACACGACAAGATGCCCTGATTGGTGATACATTCAGCCTTGACCTTGAGTACGTAGTTAACCTGCTGGTCCAGGGTCTCACACAAATCTTTAAAATTTGGGTTGATTGAAAACGAAGCTTTTATTTGTAAATCCTCCTGAAAACGATTGTTTGTAAAGAAAAATATTTTTAAAAATTATGAAGTTGTTTATTTTTTTATTTTTTTTATTTTGAGGATACAAGATACACTTGTCTTCAATAAAAAACAAATATTTCTTAATTTCTTACACCTTTTAGCTATCTAAACTGAACATTTCTGACATCTACAGCCTACAGTATGGGAATGAGTGGTCTGGACGGAGTGGTCTAGCGGTAGAGAGCTGGACTTCTAACTCGTAAGTCACGGGTTCGAATCCGGGTTCAAGTCAGTAGACCGTCCCTGAGTACCTAACTCACGTTAGGGAAAATAAAGGCGACTGGGCATAGTGCTGTCCACACTATCTCTTCATATGCCGAGGTCACAGATACGAATGAACTCTACTTCACTTGCCCCATAGGTTTACAAGGGAAACTTTTACAGCCTACAGTCATCTTTTTATTACTATGTGAAACATGGTACCCCCTATTTTAGTTCGCTTTATGCTCAGCTGAGACAATGCGTCATGGACATGTCTGTCAGTTTTTAGAATGTACCAAGCAGAGGCGTAGCGAGGGGGGGGGGGCGCGGCGGGGGGGGGACGACTTATGTGCCCGGGCGCCGACCTTAGGGGGCGCCAAAATGGGTTGGAAAAACAAATTGAAAGGTTGAGGTGGTGGGGTGCAAATCGAAAGTTTGAAGGGGGGTGCAAATTGAAAGATTGAGGGGTGGTGCAAATCGAAAGTTTGAGGGAGTAGACGGGTAGGCAAATCGAAAGTTTGCCCCCGGGCGCCGGGAAGGGTCGCTACGCCTCTGGTACCAAGTCCATCCCCTTCAGCCCCTACTCGCTATTCAACCAACGACCAGTTTATAATCTTGTTCCATCATTATATGATAGGCATGAATGCGTTCATCAGACTTTACATCGGGATGTAAACGACACATGTGTTAATGTGTATGCCCATTGCTCCGCGTAAGGTTTGCTGGCAACTAATGTAAATACTGCTAATCATTCGCTTAGGCCCTGTACGTAAACAGTGCTAGGCCGTTTCTACACAGATGTGTTATGCACGGTTGAATGAACATTGGTAATCTTTGGCTCATATTCTCGCACTATCCAGTGGGAGAGGGGGGGGGGCGTGTTTACACACAAGCGCTGTACCCAAAATTGTATTGTAGGCTATTGCCCACTGGCCAGTGGCGTAGGCAGGGGGGGTTAGGGGGGGTCATAACCCCCCATAGACCCCTCGGTATATATATATATATATATATATATATATATATATATATATATATATATATATATATATATATATATATATATATATATATATATATAAAGTATGAGGGGGTGCAAATCGAAAGTTTAAGGGGGGGGGGGGGTGCAAATCGAAAGTCTGAGGGGGGTGCAAATCGAAAGTTTGAGAGGGGGGGGGGTGCAAATCAAAAGTCTGAGGGGGGGTGCAAATCGAAAGTTTGTCCCCGGGTAAAAATTGGAACCCCCCTTTGAGACGATCCTGGCTACGCCACAGCCACAGGCAATATTACTTGTGTTAGCTACAATTTGAGTAGCGATAGACATTGTATTGAAGTGAGAAGACCGGATAAAAAGAAATAACGTAAAATGGTTTGTTGATAGTTGTTTTGACAATAACACTCGATTAATAGGATATGTAATACTTAAAAGTCATTAATTCATTAATTGTTGTATACATATTTTCTGCTTACATAAAACAAAATCTGTCTAAAACTTACACCATAAGTCAACACGTTTTTTAATAGTCAAATGGTTCTTCCACACATAACAAGATGTCTTTTTCAGTTTTCTATAAGAGGAAACACACAGTGCCTTTTTCCACTTTCTTTTCACGTGTTCTCAACTTTGCATTTTTACTCAAAATTCAACATTCAAATCGATAACGCTTAGGAACCCTTTGTCATGCAAGACTGAAACATTCCACGTGCATTTAGCATTATACCCTCTACAAAACTACGTTTGTACATTAAGTGTACTACAATACTTTAGGAAATATTAATATTTATGAAGCACCACCCGTTAATTTTTTAACATAAATGTACGTAAAAATGTGTATTAAAAATTGAGTACGAGCTATCTAAATGAAAAAACGTAGAAATATATAGTTTTGTTTAGTGAAATCTAAATGTGCCATCAGATTTTTAAAATTACGTTTAGGAACAAAGTTATAGAGGTTTGAAAAGGTGTTTTTTTTCACAACTTTTCATGGTCTTCATGGCAACCAGTACTGCTATTGGCGGCTATTAATTGTTTTTGTCTATAAGTAAGCTACTATTAACATATGAATTTATTAAACACCATCAAACATGTTAAACCATAAAAATAGCTGAATATTGGTTATAGAAATTATCTTACTTCAAATTAATAAAAAAATTCTGAATTTTATACTACAAATAGCGTACCCATCCCGTACGTTGCTGCGAGCTGATGCAATATTTAAAGAATATTTCTTCATTGTGTTACCAAGTGCGTATTTAAAGACGCGTTAAATGTTTTCTAAAACTCAATTATTTTGTGTAAACACCGCCGTCGCCATATTGGCTTTCAGACGTCGATGCGCGGCTTTGTTCACACAACTGGATAGTGAATGTAGGTTAGTCACCCTCCAGCGTAGTGAGGTAGAACACACCTAGGCGACTGTCTATGTATTGTGTGCGACGCTTGGCGCTCTCGGGATACACCGGTGACACAAACGCCATGGCGCTGAATAAGTCGCCTGTTACAGTTTAGCCATCAAATGTAGTGTCCCCACCGCGCCACAGTAGTTGGTGCTCTTTAAAATTTACGTACGTACCATATTTCTACGAGGTGTGTGTGTGTGTGTGTGTTTTGTGTGTGTGTGTGTGTGAGTGAGTGTGTGTGTGCTTTATATGTGTGTGTGTGCGTGTGTGTGTGTGTTGTGTGCGTGTGTTTTGTGTGTGTGAGTGTGTGTGTGTTTTATGTGTGTGTGTGCGTGCGTGTGTGTGTTATGTGTGTGGGTGTTTGTGTGTGTGTGTGTGTGAGTGTGTGTGTGTGTTTTATGTGCGTGTGTGTGTGTGTGTGTGGTGTGTATGTGTGTGTGGATGTGTGTGTGTGTGTGGTTTTGTCCTCCATACATTAATGTACCTTTCATTCGATCGCCTATAAACCTCGGGGCACTCTGTGTCACTCAATAGCCAGGGCGCCGGCATATGCGCCTGGTGCAGTTTTATAGTTAGATTCAGTAAGTAACAATAACCCCCCCCCCCCCCCACTATGCAGAACGTTCAATCAATGGATACCAATTGATAAGGTTGCTGCTCGGGAACTATGGGCGCTAAACCGCACCCGAATTGTATTTGTATTTACCATATTTTATTGAGAAACATCGCATCTGCCCTGTCGCCGCCCTTAGGATTTTTTTTTTCGCAGAAACATTCCCAAGAGAAATTAACATCAACTCCGCTTAGTTTCTAAGCGATCGAATAAAAGGTGTATTAATGCACGGTGGACAAAATCACACACACGCATGCACACACATGCACACACGCACACACACTCTCTAATTACTCAGAGCAACTACAATGCTTCTTCTATACTATGTATATGAGATAGTAAAAAGTATGGATACATTTCTACTTACCTCTGATTTATCCTCAACAGTTCCGTCTATTTTAAAACACGGTTTGGTGAGCATGTTCAGATTCGAACCGTCTACACACTGCGTCACATCTATGTAAGTATGGTATGGAAGTTTTATTTTGTAACTCTTCACTATTGCTGCCATTTTAAGTTGTATTTCTAAGCTATTGAAAAAAAAAAACGAAAATAGTTAGATTTTATAATAAATACATAATCTAACTTTTTTCGTATGCAATATTCTTTAATCTCATATAATACATACGAGTACATAATTCACATACGAAATACAGCATATATATATATATATATATATATATATATATATATATATATATGTTACAGTTAAACAGGGTGTGTTAGGACTATTGTAAAAATAACTGTAAATGGGTAGTGAAGCCACACTTTTGTATTTTATTATTGGGCCTATTTGGTTAGATTAAATTTAGGCAAATAATTATTGTTGTAAATTATCGATTAGGTTTAGCGTATAGTTTCAATATGAGATCCGATTGCTGAGCAGGAAAGGAACGGACCCTACACGCACAAAAATATTTTTCAGTAAATGACCCATATTCACCCACCAAATAACACGAAAAATGTGTAAGTCTATTTATCGAGATAATTATTTGTTATCTACCTATACTTACGTGAACTCAGCTTAAACACATAGGTAAAGATTAAAACGAACACAGCACAAGTGATGTGGTTGTAAAAAAACTCTTTCTCCTAGCCTTTTCCCCAGCCGAATGAGCTTTTTATAATTTTCAAAATACCAGTCTCTTAGAGTCCGGGTTTTTCCGTTATTACGTTTGTCCCGCTGAAATCCAGCATCCGATGTGGATAGAAAAAGGAAACGTTTTGCGGGTTTTTCCGAAATAACGTAATTTTTCATGGATGCCAATTTTATAGGAAAACGCCGAGGTCGAACAACATGGCACACTTTTGGTGACTCAGCTCCAGTAGCGTACGCAGGGGGGGGGGAGCAGGAGGAGCTGCCGCTCCCCCTCTGGCCATTTTCAGCAAAGTGGCGCCTTTTTGGAAACTTTATAAACTCAAAGTTTTAAACAAAGATATTTGTTAAAAATTATTTTTGGTCGGCATATCTATGTAAATCACAAGATTTATTTTCATGCAGCAATTAAGCATTATTGTACTAGTCTAGTAGTTTCTACGTTTACAACACGTATTAACAGCCGCATCATTTTGCCATTCTAAAAATAACCATTACGATGCATTGCAATGTTTAAAAAACCTCTACGTTAGTACCACTTGCCAAGAGGGGTGTTAAGTTTAAGACAACTGTATAATGTATTTGCTTACGAATAATTGAATTAGAAAATGTTATACATAAAACTTCACACATATTTACTTTATATATACAGTTTGAATCGTGGGATTAATTAAAAAAAAAATTACAATACAGAAACAAATACAACTGATGTGGCACCTCTATTTAAATTTACTTATGAGCAAACTGCATAGTGGTGGGGAAATTTTGACAAGGTCAACAACGTCATCATGATGAAGTAGTAGTATTCTTACAGTTTGGGCGATAGTGATTACGATTACAAATTATATGAAACAGTTACAACCCCCCTCCCCCATGGACCCCTCGGTAAAAAAAAATGTCACCTCACCACCACAATTGTGTAGAGCGACATTAATGTCACACCTAGGTAAAGGGCTGGTAAGTAGGTCACCAACCAGTTCTATGACTCATGCAGGTTTTATTGAGCAGAAGAACTGGTTGGTGACCTACTTACCAGCCCTATACACTGGGTTGGATAATTGACCTAAAGTGACCGGACAGTGGTGAATGAAGTTGAACCCCCCCCCCCCAACCCACCCCGAAATGATCTGTTTAGTACATGTAGAAAAACGCGTAATGATGTACCAAAGTACCATGCCGCCAGAAAATTAGCTTTTTAAACGTAAAACTCAGTGAATATTGTTTTTGCAATTACCAGTAAAAAGGTGTGTGATCAATACATTGATCTAACCCATACCTGTCACTATGTTAAAAAATGATCTTTAAAGAACACAAAGAAGCAGTAGTTAATTAAAAGTATATGATCTGAACTAAAATACCGATCTTTAGTTAAATGTAGGCTGTTATTCCGAATGTTTTCTATCATATCGAAAAGCGGGATTTTATACCAACTCTGATTTTTAGAACTTTCATTATGCTGTGATAGTTTAGCATTTATGTTGACGATATATTAAATTCCGATTATAGACAAAAACATTTTGTAAACACGAATAGTGTTAAATAATTTCATTATATTCTATAGTAATTATTTATTTGTTTTGACATTTTATATAGTTAAATGTGTAGATATATACATATTTATATTAAGAGAGTGATTATTTCCCCTATTTCACTTGTCTTAAATAATTTCCCAGGAATTATTTATAAGAATTTTTTTTACAAGAATTACAAAACAGATTGTGTTACGTTCATTGTTTTTAGTTGTAGTGTGTGTATATTTTGTTTGTTTTGTTTTTTTGTTTAGATTGATACAATTTTCGTTTTGTCGGCCTACATTGTGTGTTTTTTCTTATTTCTTCAGAGTGCTTATTTCAATTTATGTTACATCATAGCGAAGTAATGACATACAGCTAGTAATTATAATTATATATATATATATATATATATATATATATATATATATATATATATATATATATATATATATATAATACACGTATGTAGAACGTGTTAAAAATCGGCGCCTTTTTTTGCTCTTTTCGCTCCCCCTACAACGAAAACCTGGATACGCCTCTGCTCAGCTCTGTTTATTTTTAGTAACCAGTGGAACGGCGTGGTCTAGAGTTAGAGAGCTAGATTGTTAACAGAAGAGTTACGAGCTCGAATCCGGGTTCAAATCAGTAGAATGTCCCTGAGTTTACCCAGCTTTGAGGGGTACCTAACCTAAGTTGAGGAAAACAAAGGCAATTGGGCATAGTGCTGACCACACTATCCCTTCATATTCCGAGGTCCATGAATCAGATGTGATTTGGGCACGAACAGGATTAAGAAGAAGGAAAAATCAACTTATTAAGTGTTGGTCTAATCTTCATATTTTATTTTATTAAAAAAAACACAACAAAGTATAAAAAAACAACAGCTAGGAAGGGTGTGGTGAAACGAATTAGCAACCCACTTCTATAAACAATTACCCTGCATCAACAATTGTACATTTCTGTTTAATTAAGAGTTAGGGTTACCACAAAAACAGTCAGAAAATGCACATCATCCGTTCTAGTTACAATTTACTTTTGATTTTTGCTATCCCTTTTAGTGCAAGTAATACAATTGAAGTATTTTTGTAGGCATAATATATTACTTTGATTTAAATAATTTATATATATATATATATATATATATATATATATATATATATATATATGTGTGTGTGTGTGTGTGTGTGTTAGAGTAATTTTAATTCCATGTATTCTTAGTTACATGATAACATTAGAGCTGTAAATGTATTTAGTTTAAAAACACAAATCATTACTAAAATTTTCCATAGCCTTTGTCCAACCAAGAACAAACTACAAGGCAGCAGTTGTTTGATTTTGGAGTTGTCTCTCCTAGAAGAGTGGCTGTCCCCAGCTAACGAGCCTCATCTACCCGAGGGTTCGAACTCGAGACTTTTCGGTTTAGCAACCATGAGCTTTACCGACTCGACCACGCCGACCCTCGGGCAGATGAGGTTCGTTAGCTGGGGACAGTCAAACAACTGCTGCCTTGTAGTTTGTCCTTGGTTAGACTAGGGCTATGGAAGCAAATCCAAAAAGAAAAGCAGGCTGAAATCGGAGTCAATGGCCTTAATGGCGCATAACCAGTTGACACGTAACGCTTAATTGTGTTGGAGGCGTGGTCGAGTCGGCAAAAAGCTCATGTTTGATAAATTCGAACAAAGTCTCGAGTTCAAACCCACTGGCAGATAAATTTCGATCCCCTTCAACACTAATAATTAAGAACGAAGAAGAAGAAGAAGAAGAACTAAAATTTTATTATCAGTCTCTCTAACTTATATATATATATATATATATATATATATATATATATATATATATATATATATATATATATATATATATATATATATATATATATATATTTAAACGTAGCTTTATTTTAATTATTGTGTCTATAATCCACGTTAATATAATTTAATCAATAGCGCTGGGAATTACAACTTCATTGTGTGCAACGCGAAAATTACTCACCACTAAGCACAGCTGCCGCTCGCCAGATGTTAGTAGGTCAAAGCCTGGAACTGCTTTTCTCGAAAAATCTCAGCTCAAAACGACACTCTTAAATCTGCCCGAGCTGGTCAGCCTCACACGTTAAAATGAAGCCGAGCGCAATGTTTCTAATGCTGCTCCTGTTTTGTGTTTGTTTTGATCCAAGTCGGGAACAATCGGACTCCAATACAACATGCACGGTCACGGTGTTGGATAAGGAGGAGCTGACCAAGAGACTGGCGCCTTACTTTGGCAAGGATTCTCCAGCCAAAGTTCTCGAATATCAACTGAAATTCGTCAATGCCTCGTACACTTACAATAACACATTTCCAACGCACTCTTATGAAACTTGGAGGTAGGAATTTATTTTAAAATAAGTGTACATTTAATAGATTAGATTACATTACATATATATATATATATATATATATATATATATATATATATATATATATATATATATATATATATATATATATATATATATATATATATATATATATATATATATATATATATTTATATAAGTAAAGTGAATTATGTTGATAACACCCTGAATTAAATATGGAAATTGCAAGCTAGTTGCAAAATAATTATTCTTACCATAATAGGCTATGCAAAATATAGCGATCTCAATAATCGATTCAAAAGTGACCGAAAACTGACCACGGCCTTATATAAACTTTCCATTTTTAAAGTGTATTAATTAGATCGGCTACTCGTATCTGTGATACATATTTGATATTTGGAAGTCACCTTGAAAAATAGGTTCTCAAAAAAGCCATTTTAAGGGATTAATAAAACAAAAAATTATAATAACAACTTTATAGGAAAAAGCTTTTGCATGCACTGAAAATACGAAAATAAAACTAAACTCGTTTTCTTACATAAAAGCTTTATATATATATATATATATATATATATATATATATATATATATATATATATATATATATATATATATATATATATATATATATATATATATATATATATATATATATATATATATATATATATATATATATATATATATATATATATATATATATATATATATATATATATATATATATATATATATATATATATATACACTACTAAAACTCAAGTTTGTTTACATGTTTGAATATTTTTGTTTGTTTGTCTGATTGAATACTGGGGAGAATCGGCGCTAGAGCTGTAAAATAGTATAGGTAGAGAACAGTTTTTGTTTTTAGGCAGACTGTTAATCGCAAATTTATTTAAAGACGTTAATTAATTTATTGATTTATTCATTGGTAGATTATCCACATTAATTTTAAATTTTTCAAACAATGGCTTTACCTTGACTGACTAGTGACGTCTCATGATTTGTTTATTTTTTTAGTACAATAAGATGGCGGCTTCCATCATAGACTTTGTGGACTATTCAAAAGTTTGACGCGTTCTAAAGCTAATTTTCTGTCGGCCATAACTTTAACAATACGCCCGTTTGCTGTTTTTATTACGTTCAAACACTTATATAAATTTTCAACTGTCGTTTTCATTTAGTTTTACAATAAATTTCTCTAGCTCTAAAATCTGTCCAAGAATGTTACCTGTTTATTTATAGATCTAAATAGCATGTGGCCAAGAAAGTTATTTATAGATCTAGATCTAGATCTAGAATCTAGGTCAAACCAAAGATTAATTAGAAAAAATACAATCCATTTTACAATCATAATACATTTTTTAGTCCTTAAATACTTGATATAATCTTTGTGGTGTATCTATCTAGATCTAGATCTATCTAACTAGAATAGGTCTAATTATTAGATCTAGATATAGCAAGAGTTACGCAAAAACTAGACTTAAGACTTAAGCAAACGGGTCGTAGAATCTAGATCTAGATAATTCTATCTAGATCTAGATAATTTTAGACCTTCATTATTTTATATAAATCTTTGTTTTTTTAGCTATGTAATTGGCTAATTTTAGATAAAATTTAATTTGAAAGTTATTACTATTAGACTTAGATTTAGATCTATGCGTGAAATCAAGTTGCATAAGGACACTCAAAGTATTAAGCTATAGGCCTACTATAAAAAAACATCAGTGACGTCACGAGTTAAATAGCTACGTTGTTAGTATAACCGGCTTGCATGCGGGTGGTACGGGTTCTATACCAATACGTCAATGATAATTTTTTTTTTTCAATTTTTTTTTATTTTTTAGATGTGAATGATAAAGTTGCCTATCTGAACTTGGCGAAATATAGGGCAGGTGAAGTAGAGTTCATCTGTTTCTTTGTCCTAAGCAAATGAAGGGATAGCATAGTCAGAGATATGCTCGGCTGGAATCGGTTTTTTAAACGATTAAAACATGTTGTCTGAGACTTAGCGGGACACTGTGCAGGTGAAGTAGAGTTGAGTAGGTCACCTGTGACGTCAGTATATGAAGGGATAGTCCGAAATCGGTGTTTTCGGTTCTTTTAAAAGATAAAAAACATCTGGGATCTGGTTTTTTGTGACGATAAGTGACAGACGTGATGTTGTTTTATGGATGACCCCCGAATCCCACAGTTATCCAAGGGATGACGGGTAGTCTAGTATATATATATATAAAAGTGGTGGGGTGCTTCTTTCGGCACGGGCGCTTCGAATTTGGCAGACTCCTGCCTTGGGGCGATATAACACGGGGGCCGGGGCAGGTTGGCCGCAAAGTCCACGAAGAGGGGGTCAAAACTGACCTCGACTGACCGGCGCCTTGAATGAGTTATATGACGAAAAAAACTTTTGCCGAACGACCCTTCTTGATACTGTGAGGTGCTAGAAGAACGCCTATGGGGTGTCAGAAAAAACTCACCATATCTAGAAAAATCTAGAAATGTGTCAAAACTGACCAGTCGTATTTCCCTATATAATCTTTATATTTTATGTCAAAAACGGAGAGTAATTTCAACAAAGATTTTAGGGTACTTACTGTCTGTACATCATGCTAATTTTTGGGTGCACCTAGGTAAATGGTTAGGCCGTATGAAAAAACTGTTGGTCAGACTCAAAGCCCTCGAAAAGGGGTAAAAAATTACTGCGAGTGAAATTCTCCTTGTATAAGATATATATAAATAAATTGACGAACGATCCCCGTAATATTTTGTGAGGTCCTGGTAAGTAACAAAAAAAATGTTTATTCCCGTCAGAAAAACCCCTTAAGGTTGTTAGATTTGTCCAGAAGCCGTATTTTCTTATATAAACAATTGTTTATGAAAAAGTAAACAAAGACTACGTCATTTGGTTTATGTACAGGGGAGGTAACTTTTTAAAATAATAAATTTTAAATAATTTTTATACTATTTTAAAGAAAAAAAAAATCACAAGATGTAGGACTTGTTTAAACTTGGCCCTAAGCATTCCACAATCGC